CAATTATAGTTAGCTTCAAATTACTACAAATAATAGAATTTAACAACAGCTTTAGCTATAATAATAATACATATAACAAGTTATTATTTATACCTTTATTATACCACTATATAACTGGATTAGTTATAGGTATTAGTTCTTCATCATGTACAGTCCCAATATTATTAATTATATTATTTTGGATATCTTCTTGTAAATCTTGGCTATTGGGAATTTTATATACTATAACTTACTTATTCAGTTATATATTACCTATTTATCTGATTATTAATCAGAACCTTAATTACAATCAAATAAATAGATGGCCACTTATATGGAATAATATTACTTTTTTAAGTGGCTGCACTATGTTAGGATATAGCATTTTTGCTTTACTTCATATAATATTTATATAATGTTTTCTAACAAAACAATAAACCATGTTTTATATAAGCAAATAAATTTCTATCATAACCTATGCAACTACTTAATACTAAAAATATTATATGGCACACATTTAAAAAACTTCGTAATTTAAGTTTCTCTATAAGCTTACTACTGATAATAGCTATTATCAGTATAATTGGAACTATCATTGAACAAAATCAAAGTATTTCTTATTATCAAACCAATTATCCTCTTAACAATCAATTATTGAATGATATAATTAATTGGAAGATAATTGTCAACTTAGGATTAGACCATATATATTCAAATCCATGTTTCATAACCGTCTTAATTTTATTCTTTTGTAGTTTACTATCATGCACTTTTTCTAATCAATTACCCAGCTTAAGAAATGCTCGTAAATGGAAATTTTTACAACACAGTCAAAAAAGAAATAATAAATCTCATTTCACAGAATTAGATCAAACATCTATATGTAATATGATATATAGTCTATACAGTAATCACTATTATATATTTCATAAAGAAACGAGCTTGTACGCTTATAAAGGCTTATCTGGCCGAATTGCTCCTATTATTGTGCATTTCAGCATAATTTTAACTCTCACAGGATCCGTAATTAGTTTATTAGGCGGATTCACAGCACAAGAAATAGTACCAGAAGGAGAAATATTTCATATAAAAAATACAATTCAATCTGGATTTAACAGCACATTACCAGATAATTTAATAGGAAAAATTAACGATTTTCATATCACATATAACAAAGATAACTCAATAAAACAATTTTTATCTAATATTGCACTATATAATAGCCAAGGTCATAATATAAATCAAAAATATGTTTTTGTTAATTCACCATTGATATTTAATGGCATTACATTTTATCAAACGGACTGGAGCATAAATAGCATAAGGCTAAAAATAGGAAATAGTAAAATTATCCAACATCCGATTACAAAGCATAAAATCAATAATCAAATCTTATGGTCATCCCAGATTCCTATAAATAAGACAGCACGTATTATATTTATCGTAACTAAATTAAATAACCAAATTTCTATGTATGATACATCTAACAATTTACTAATACATATGAAATCAAATGAAAAAGTAGTGATTAATAACACAACTGTAGAAATTGTTGAAATAATGACAAACACAGGTCTACAAATTAAAACAGATCCTGGTATTTTTATTACTTATACAGGCTTTTTAACATTAATGATTAGCATAATTGTAAGCTATATCTCTTATTCTCAAATCTGGGTCAACAGTATAATACAAAATATAGAAATAGCAGGTTTCACTAATAGAGCTACATTAAGTTTCGAAGAAGATTTAATCAATATTGAAGAAATATACACTAAATATACATGGATATAAATATAGCATCAATAATAATGAATCAGAAGTAATAACAAATATGCGTAATAATTGATTATTACTATAGAATTACAAAAGTACCATATAAACAATCAAGCTTTATAGTACAATTAATATATTTTATTTTGCCTTATATATTATTATATTAAAACAAAGCTGCAGACTACAGAAATCATCACTTATATAAGAATAAATAAAGAATATATTAGTAAAATAGACCTCTTACTATACCATTCAAGAATTTATAATGTAATATCATCTTAATTAAAAAAGAACTAATAAATTCTACTGACTCGATCTTATATTAATTCACTTCAAACTTCATTAATCAAATAAGTCACTAAATATTAAAATACAATAAAATTTCTAATTATTGCTTGCCCTTCAGTTGTCCATAAACTTTCTGGATGAAACTGAATACCTCTCAATAACTTATATTTTTTATGACGGCATGCCATAATAATCCCTTCATGTGTCCAAGCTGTAATTTCTAAGTTATTAGGAAAACCTTGATGATTAATAATCAAACTGTGATAACGCGCTGCAGAAAAAGGATTAGGCAAACTAGTAAATAAATCTTGAGAATTATGTAAAATTTTACTTAATTTACCATGCATAGGATAATCTAGCTTAGTTATTTTAGCACCATATACATATCCTATAGCTTGATGACCTAAACAGACTCCTAAAATAGGTATAGTACTAGCATAAGAACTAATTAATTGTAAAGATATACCTGAATTTTCAGGATTACCTGGACCAGGTGATAAAACAATATGAGTCGGATTATATTGATCAATATGAGACAAAGATATTTCATCATTCCTGACAGTACAAACAGATAAACCTAATTTACCTAAACACTGTACTAAGTTTTGTGTGAAACTATCATAATTATCAATAACTAAAATCATAGTTCAAATAAAATATACTTATATGTTAAATTACTTTATAAACATACCTTCTGAAGGTGAACTTGCTGCAGCTTTATTTTGTCTTAACATTCTACCAGATAGATAAGCAATACGCCCAGATACAACTCCCAATTTCATAGCTTCTGCCATATATTCAGGATTAGCAGCTTTAGCAATAGCTGTATTCAATAATACTGCAGATGCACCCATTTCCATGGCCTGACTAGCTTCACTAGCTGTACCAATACCCGCATCTATTATAATAGGAATTTTTGCATTATTTATAATAATTTGTAAATTTAGAAGATTTTGTAAACCTTGCCCAGAACCAATAGGAGAACCTAAAGGCATAATCGCAGAACAGCCAACCTCTTCCAACTGTTTAGCTAAAATAGGATCTGGACTAATATAAGGTAAAACTGTAAAATTTTTATTAACTAGATACTCTGCAGCCTTTAAAGTCCCATAAGGATCTGGAAATAAATATTCTGAATCAGAAATAACTTCTAATTTCACAAAATTATTATCTAATTGCCCTAATCTCTTTGCTATTTCTCGACCTAAAACAGCAACTCTTATAGCTTCTTCTACTGTCTCACAACCAGCTGTATTAGGTAAAAGCCACAATTTTTTCCAATCTAATCCATCAAGTAAATTACTTTTCCCGTTTAGTTTCTTAATATATGTACGACGAATAGCTACTGTTACAATAGAAGCATCACTGTTCATTACACTGATACTAGCTTCTTTTAAATTTCTATACTTACCTGTACCCAACATTAAACGAGATGAAAAAGATTTTTTATTAATTTTTAAAGGCTGAGTTAAATGCAAATATGAAGATAATAAATTGCGTGACATCGTTTTATTTCAATTAAATAAATAAAATAAAAAATATTTGAAATGTTTTATTATTTTAGTGTAAAATCAATATATACGCAATATATTTCATACTAAAAAATACATTAATATTTAATGTAATCATTAGTCAGATAAAAAACATCAATAAAATTTATATTTAAATATAACTTGCTGCAACCACTATACAAAATTACTATGCATAATAAATCACCTTTATTGATTATTATAATACTAAGCATTTTAAGTACTATATTAATAAGCTTTATAATACGCTACTTATATTTATATATAGCAACATCTTATAAAAATTATAACGTTAATAACATTACATTAGTAGATCGCTTAAGTTCTATATTACCCTATTGGCTGCCATTATTAGAAGGCTTACAAAACTTCGGGCAACAAATTTTACCAGATTATCCTTTCAATATTATGCAAATTTATAAAAAGACTCTAATGCCTTTAGTAATTTTTTACGTTACACACCCGACATTGGCTGTTATCATATTTTTTATATTATATTACCTATTTGTACGTAATAAGAGCCCTATACCAGACCGTCCATTTATTAGATTCAATGTATTACAATCAATACTATTATTTCTAATTAATTCTTTATTAGGAGCTACATTCAGAGCTTTACCTATAGAGTTCAGAATGAGCTTGTATGGACTGATGCTATGTAATACACTATTCTGGTTTGTTTTATCAACTATAGTCTACTCTATAATAAAATCTATTGAAGGGAAATATGCTAGAATACCAGTAATTTCTCAAGCCGTAAGAATACAAATTGATAATCAATTATAAGGTATAATTTATGAATTTTAATCATTATGAAACAATCTATATATTAAAACCTAATATAACCGAAGAACAAAATTTAACTTTATTGAATCAATATAAATCATTAATCAAAAAGTATGGTGGACAAAATATAGCAATTCAGCATAAAGGTAGAAGACACTTGAATTATAATATACAATCTTACTATGATGGTATTTATATGCAAATAAATTACACAGCAAGTAGCAATTTAGTTAAAATACTAGAAAAAACTATGGGTTTAAGCGGAGAAATCATAAGATATATTACAGTTAAGAATTATAGTACAAACCATATACACGTATAAGCTATTTAATAACTCAAATTCTGCACGTGCAAGGTCTATATAACTATAAAGATTATATATATAATGTAAATAGAACTATATAATATGATGTAGAAAGTTATCTTCAAAGTTAATTCAGTTCATTCTCTGAAGATAAAATAACATTATATTATTATAAAATTTTATCAACTTCTAGCAAAACTTATTAAATATAATCAAAGAAATACAACATCCAAAATATATCTAGTCAGTATTAGGTTAATCGTATACCATAATTATACAAATAGAGTAAAAAAGACTGATTTTACCTTCAAATAAAAATAAATTATCGATTTATATAGTCTTGATACTGAGCTACCTTCCCAAAAAGCTTCCCTTTCAGTATTATCGCCGCTGCAGCGTTTAACAACCAAGTTCGGAATGGATTGGAGTGGTTCCACTGCGCTATAAGAATCAAGACATAAATTACACTATTAAATTAAAGTTTTCGAAATTATAATAATAATATATAAAACATTCGATCTATTAGTACGTCTCAGCTGAATATATTACTATACTTACACTTGACGCCTATCAAACGGTTAGTCTTACCGTGATCTTATCCATTTTACTGGAAAGAGTACTCATCTTGAGGTTAGCTTCCCACTTAGATGCTTTCAGCGGTTATCTTGTCCATACTTGGCTACCCAGCATTTACTGTTGGCACAATAACTGGTACACCAGAGGTATGTTTCTCCCGGTCCTCTCGTACTAAGGAGAAATCCTCTCAATACTCTAACGCCTACACCGGATATGGACCGAACTGTCTCACGACGTTCTGAACCCAGCTCGCGTACCGCTTTCATGGGCGAACAGCCCAACCCTTGGGACATACTACCGCCCCAGGATGCGATGAGCCGACATCGAGGTGCCAAACCTCCCCGTCGATGTGAACTCTTGGGGGAGATTAGCCTGTTATCCCTAGAGTAACTTTTATCCGTTGAGCGACAGCCTTTCCACTCAGTACTGTCGGATCACTAAGGCCGACTTTCGTCTCTGCTCGACTTGTAAGTCTCGCAGTCAAGCTTCCTTATGCCTTTATACTCTACGACTGATTTCCGACCAGCCTGAGGAAACCTTTGCACGCCTCCGTTACCTTTTAGGAGGCGACCGCCCCAGTCAAACTGCCCACCTGAAACTGTCTATTGGCCAGCTTATGGCAGTCAATATTAGAATTCTAGTTTAATCAGAGTGGTATCTCACTAATGGCTCATATACATCCGCAAACATATACTCTTTGCCTCCCACCTATACTGCGCAAATTAAACCCAAATTCAATTCCAAGCTACAGTAAAGCTTCATAGGGTCTTTCTGTCCAGGTGCAGGTAGTCCGCATCTTCACAGACAATTCTATTTCGCCGAGTCTCTCTCTGAGACAGTGCCCAAATCGTTACGCCTTTCGTGCGGGTCGGAACTTACCCGACAAGGAATTTCGCTACCTTAGGACCGTTATAGTTACGGCCGCCGTTCACCGGGGCTTCAGTTACTAGCTTCATTTTACAACTAACCAATTTCTTTAACCTTCCGGCACTGGGCAGGCGTCAGCCCCCATACGTTGTCTTACGACTTTGCGGAGACCTGTGTTTTTGCTAAACAGTCGCTTGGGCCTGGTTATTGCAACCCTACAAGGGTACTCCTTCTCCCGAAGTTACGGAGCTATTTTGCCGAGTTCCTTAGAGAGAGTTATCTCGCGCCCCTTAGTATACTCTACCTACCTACTTGTGTCAGTTTAAGGTACAGGTATTTATTACTTAAGATATAGCGAGCTTTTCTTGGAAGTATGACATCAATCACTTTAGCACCGTAGTGCCTTGTATTCACTTCTTAGCTCTAGATGTTTTCTCCATCTTTCTTCACCTTAAAAGCTTAAACCGGTAACCAACATCCGGCTGATCTAGCCTGCTCCGTCCCTCGTTATCAGTAATAAATAGTACAGGAATATTAGCCTGTTATCCATCGACTACGTTTTTCAACCTTGCCTTAGGCCCTGACTTACCCTTCGTGGACGAACCTTCCAAAGGAAACCTTAGGTTTTCGGGGCATTGGATTCTCACCAATGTTTTCGCTACTCAAGCCGACATTCTCACTTCTGCTTTGTCCACATTCACTTTCGCTAATGCTTCAACCTTATGCAGAACGCTCCCCTACCGATGACAAAACATCCCACAGTTTCGGCAAATTACTTAGCCCCGTTCATTTTCGGCGCAAGATCACTAAACCAGTGAGCTATTACGCACTCTTTAAAGGATTGCTGCTTCTAAGCAAACCTCCTGGTTGTTTATGCATTCTTACTTCCTTTATCACTTAGTAATTATTTAGGGGCCTTAACTGGTGGTCTGGGCTGTTTCCCTTTTGACAATGAAGCTTATCCCCCACTGTCTCACTGATTGACTATTCACTTAGTATTCAGAGTTTGCATCGATTTGGTACCGCTCTCGCAGCCCGCACCGAAACAGTGCTTTACCCCCAAGCTATAATATCAATCGCTGCGCCAAAACGCATTTCGGGGAGAACCAGCTAGCTCCGGATTCGATTGGCATTTCACCCCTAGCCACAGCTCGTCCGCTGATTTTTCAACATCAGTCGGTTCGGACCTCCACTTAGTGTTACCTAAGCTTCACCCTGGCCATGGCTAGATCATCCGGGTTCGGGTCTGTAAATAGTGACTTATGCTCTAATTAAAGCTCGCTTTCACTATGGCTTCGATATTCTCTATCTTAACCTGCCACTACCTACAAGTCGCCGGCTCATTCTTCAACATGCACATAGTCAGACGATAAGTCATCCTCCTACTGCTTGTAAGCTTACGGTTTCATGTTCTATTTCACTCCCCTCCCGGGGTTCTTTTCACCTTTCCCTCACGGTACTAGTTCACTATCGGTCATTTAGTAATATTTAGCCTTACGAGGTGGTCCTCGTAGATTCACACGGGGTTTCACGTGTCCCATGCTACTTGGGATTCAATAAAAATATCGCTTTGCTTTCGATTACAGGACTATCACCTTCTACGGTACAATATTCCAATTGATTCACCTAGCATTACAAAATTTTAAATATTGTCCCGCAACCCCACTAAAACTCATTAAAGTGGTTTAGGCTGTTCCCTTTTCGTTCGCCACTACTAAGAGAATCGCTTTTGCTTTCTTTTCCTTTAGCTACTAAGATGTTTCAGTTCGCTAAGTTAGCTCTTGCCTACTTATAGATTCAGTAGGTAGTATAAAGAGTTTCCTCATTCGGGCACCTCCGAATCATAGCTTACTTCCAGCTCCTCGAAGCATTTCGTTGGTAGTCACGCCCTTCATCGCTTCTAAATGCCTAGGTATCCACCGTAAGCCCTTACTTGTTTTAAATATTACTTATAATTACAATACGCAATAACTTATAATAAAAAATATTAGAATAAATTATCACTACAGGTAATTTACAGTGCTTAATATTAGTATAGTAATTAGATTCAAAGTTAAAATAAAGTATTTTTATGCTTGGAGATAAGCGGACTCGAACCGCTGACATCTGCCTTGCAAAAGCAGCGCTCTACCAGCTGAGCTATACCCCCTTATATAAATTGGTGGGCTATCCTGGATTTGAACCAGGGACCTCACCCTTATCAGGGGTGTGCTCTAACCAACTGAGCTAATAGCCCTACTTGATTGTTTCAACTGCATGTATTAAAGATACGATCTAAAGTTCAGAGATATAATTGTCGCATTGTTGCGTCAAAGTTTTCTTTCCCTAAATAAGGAGGTGATCCAGCCGCACCTTCCAGTACGGCTACCTTGTTACGACTTCACCCCAGTCACTAGCTCTACCTTAGGTGCCCTCCTCCAAAAAGGTTAAAGTAACAACTTCGGGTATAGCCAGCTCCCATGGTGTGACGGGCGGTGTGTACAAGGCCCGGGAACGAATTCACCGCCGTATAGCTGACCGGCGATTACTAGCGATTCCATCTTCATGTAGGCGAGTTGCAGCCTACAATCCGAACTGAGATCATGTTTATGAGATTAGCTGAACTTCACAGTTTCGCAGCTCTTTGTCATGACCATTGTAGCACGTGTGTAGCCCAGAATATAAGGGGCATGCTGACTTGACGTCGTCCTCACCTTCCTCCGGTTTGTCACCGGCAGTCTTCTTAAAGTCCTCAACTAAATGATAGCAACTAAGAATAAGGGTTGCGCTCGTTGCGGGACTTAACCCAACATCTCACGACACGAGCTGACGACAGCCATGCACCACCTGTGTTCACATTCCCGAAGGCACTTTCTATTTTCATAAAAATTTGCGACATGTCAAATTCTGGTAAGGTTCTTCGTGTTGCATCGAATTAAACCACATGCTCCACCGCTTGTGCGGGCCCCCGTCAATTCCTTTGAGTTTCACTCTTGCGAGCGTACTTCCCAGGCGGGATACTTAACGCGTTAGCTACGATACTGCACGGATCGATACGCACAACATCTAGTATCCATCGTTTACAGCTAGGACTACTGGGGTATCTAATCCCATTCGCTCCCCTAGCTTTCGTCTCTGAGTGTCAGTAATGGCCCAGTAAGGCGCCTTCGCTTCTGGTGTTCTTCCCAATATCTACGCATTTCACCGCTACACTGGGAATTCCCCCTACCCATACCATACTCTAGTAAAACAGTTTCGGCTGCTGACTTAAGGTTGAGCCTCAATATTTAACAACCGACTTATTTAACCACCTACAGACGCTTTACGCCCAATAATTCCGGATAACACTTGCATCCCCCGTATTACCGCGGCTGCTGGCACGGAGTTAGCCGATGCTTATTCCTTAAGTACCGTCATGTTTCTTCCTTAAGAAAAGAGGTTTACAACCCACAGGCATTCTTCCCTCACGCGGTATTGCTCCGTCAGGCTTTCGCCCATTGCGGAAAATTCCCCACTGCTGCCTTCCGTAAAAGTCTGGACCGTGTCTCAGTTCCAGTGTGGCTGATCGTCCTCTCAAACCAGCTACTGATCGTTGCCTTGGTAAGCTTTTAATTTACCAACTAGCTAATCAGACGCGAGCTCATCCTTAGGCGAAAAATCTTTCACTGTTAAGCATATAAGGTATTAGCAATCGTTTCCAATTGTTATCCCTCTCCTAAGGGTAGATTCTTGCGTATTACTCACCCGTCCGCTACTGAAGAATAAACTTCCGTTCAACTTGCATGTGTTAAGCATACCGCCAGCGTTCATCCTGAGCCAGGATCAAACTCTCCGCATTATCCAGAATATATTCTAACTGATTCAATAAAGAACAATTAAATTAAGTAATTGACTACTTACTTAAGTTCAACTAACTGAAATACTAACTGAAAGTAATAATAATGCCTTTTATAGTATCTTGTCAAGACCTCATAATAAAAAATTGTGCTACCCAAAAAGTTTATTAAAAAATATAAAAGTTAACATCCAAAAACTTTTTAATAAAACTCAAATATCATTTTCATATTATTTCACTTTTAATAAAGACTATAAGCTATAAGCAAGCCTATTTAATATAAACTAAATTTAGTTGAATAAATATATTTATAATTATCTATTAAATTAGTATTCTTATCGCAACTTATAATAAAAAACTATATACTCAAATTAAAATAATAATTACAAATATATACAATAAGAATATAAAATATACAAGGAGACATAAAATTTGCATAATTCTAAAGAAAAAATTTTAATTGTAGATGATGAAACTAGTATAAGAACAATTTTAGAAACTCGATTATCTATGATTGGCTATGATGTTATTAGCGCAGGAGATGGAGAAGAAGCATTATACATATTTCGAAAAGAATATCCTAATTTAGTAATCTTAGACGTTATGATGCCTAAGCTAGATGGATATGGGGTATGTCAAGAAATTAGAAAAGAATCTGATGTGCCTATAATAATGTTGACTGCACTCGGAGATGTATCAGATAGGATTACTGGTTTAGAATTAGGAGCAGATGATTATGTCATAAAACCTTTTTCACCAAAGGAGTTAGAAGCACGTATTAGATGCGTTCTAAGGAGAGTAGATAAAATAACTATCAATTCTGGTATACCTAGTTCAGGTATTTTAAATATAGGCTTCTTAAAGATTGACACAAACAAAAGACAAGTATACAAAAAAGATGAACGCGTTAGATTGACTGGTATGGAATTTAGCCTTTTAGAATTACTAGTAAGTAAGGCCGGCGAACCTTTTTCAAGATCTGCTATTTTGCAAGAAGTTTGGGGATACACTCCGGAAAGACATGTGGATACACGTGTAGTAGATGTACATATTTCTAGACTCAGAGCTAAGTTAGAAGACGATCCAAGCAATCCAGATTTAATTTTAACTGCTAGAGGAACAGGATATTTATTTCAAAGAATTATTGAAAAAATAGAATAATTGAAAATGAAAACATTATTAGATCTAACAACTAGCTAAATATAAAAATCTTTATTTATTTCTAACTGTATTTTAATCATATTTAATTTAAGATATTTAGCTTTGTATATATCTTACAAATTTATATATAAATTTAATCAATCTCATAAGATTGATTCAATAAGCGACCAAAATTATTGGTTATTTATTAAATGCTAAAAATTAATTGTTAATAAAATGATTATATGCTTGTGTTACCTATAAATTTCATAAAAGTTATTGCTATTTAATAAATCGATTTATTGTTAGTTTGCTTGATTATGAATTGGATTTATTATATTTTTGTTCTTACAAGATCTTTTATGTAAATGATTATAATACTATATATTTGATATTTTAAAACATTTTTATAAACAATAGACTAGGCATCTTAGAAAATTGTACTAGATTACTAATTTTATTTTCATACAGCAAGGTTTATAATATAAAATAAATATAGAAAATTCTTCTTGAGAGCAATCCAACCTTGTAACTAAAATCACAGAATACTAACTATCTAGCTTTAATTTCTTAATAAGTGCATTGTTTTCAAGTTTAGGTTGAGAAAAAAGCGATTAATATATTTTTTACTATTTTTGATTAAAATTTTAATTAAAAACTAAATTGTCTTGTACTTATCCTTAATATCATAAGATATTCAATAAATTCAAGAGAATAAACAGATCTTTAAACAAAAAGTAAAAAAACATATACAAAAAATATATGATTTAGCTTTATATATAAATAATATAACAAGAAGAAGAATGATAATAGTATTTTAATATTTTTCAATAGTTATATTTAAAAATAAGGTTCAATAAATTACTGAAATTATTAAAATATCTAGCAAGTACTTAAATGAATATTTTATACCTAAATTTGATTCACTTATATCAATATCAGATCAGAAGGTAATTAAAAATTATGTATTTTGATTTTAAAGTTTATTAATTATAATTCTAACTATAATGATTTTCACAAACTTACTGCAATCTTGAATTATTTTTATTTACAACGATTTATATCATAATGCCTAAAAATTAAATTTATTAGCTTATTATTTAATATAAATTTAAAATAGTTGTAATTATATTTATTCGTATTATATATAAGTCTTCAGTATAATAATTTTATACTCTACAAGTTTTTTCTTTCCTCTCCATTTTATAAATTCCCAAAATATCAATCTATTACTAATACTATTTATACGATATTATACAAACTTGTAAACTTAACATAATAAAAAATAGTAGTTACATACAGAATTATGCACGTTTTTAGTTTAGATTCTAAAACTTTACTATTTCTATTTATAGTCAAATAATACAATTATAAATTAAATAACAATTTTGATATTAAATTTGATATTAAAAGCGAATAAAAATAGAACAAGAGAATATAATATTTGCTATACTATATTTGTATTATATGAAAATTTTAACTTAAAATAAATTGTGAACTTAGAGAACTAATTAAATCCTTTTAAATTAGCTACCAACTTTGCTATTCAATAGGCTTATAATATTAATATAAGCGTAAAGAAAAGTAAAGTGACTTTACAAACTTCATATAAGCATTACTAAACATTACAACTTAAAATTAGATTGTAATGTATAAATAAGCTTACAACTTATTTACTTAATTAGTTTACTCTGGAGACTTATTTTATGACCATAGCAATTGGACAAGAAAAAA